TTTGAGGTTCTACTGTGTCCTTGTCCTTGTTGTTAAATCAAACCAATTACACTGTAATTGGTGGTTTTGGCCAGATTGTTGTTTTCAATATGAGCTTATATAGATGTTGCTTTGCATAAGGTGATTTTTGTAAGTAAGTTTTGTTGTAATGATTTTTCTGTGTAGACCATGTTGTAAAACATAAATGCAATCCTTTGCGTAGTTGTGTGTACTTTCACTTTCCTTTTCTGACAAGCAGGTATAGTTTTAGCTCAAAGCTTTCTTGAAATTCCAAATCTCTTCTTGACGTTTAATAGGTCCTCTTAGCACCAGTTCCTTAAAGCCATGTCAGTAGCTTTAGTCCTTTCATGTGTAGCCTTTATATGGTTTATAGCTGCTACAGTGCACCAACACTTATAGATAGATAGATAGATAGATAGATAGATAGATAGATAGATAGATAGATAGATAGATAGATAGATAGATAGATAGATAGTATTGCTTCTTCATCTTCTATCCTCCTTACTTAACAGCCATGAATCTGTATTGTGGATATCAAGATAGCTTAGCAGCCCTTTGATTAAATGAATAGACCAAGTTTACAGGACATCTGTTAGCAGATCTGGGAAAAGATTACTCAGCCTCATCTCATACAGACAGAGCAGCAAATGATGTAATTAAGGCCAAAAAAATACTGCCTCTTGGCCTTGGCCTCTCGCCTCATTCAGTCTTTTGTAGTGTAATATAATAACACGATTCCACTTTACAGAATGCACAAAAAAGAAATAAAATATTGAAATTCCTGTTGCTTAATACACTTGAGAAATTGTAGAGCTGTCGACTGCAATTTTAAACAGAAAATTAATACGCTTAGATTTAAATCTTTGTGAGATGTAGAAGTAGAAGATAAAGAAATTAACATGACTAGCAGGCCAGACTATGGGCCAAACTAGGGCACTGCATTCATATTGTGTCAAGATGATTTATATACCAGAAACACAAAACTGATGTAATGTTCTTACTTTACATTCTAATTGATTTTTTCCAAACCTTGTTTTCTATGGCTCCCAGTTTGTTGTTTCTGAAGCTGAAATGAGCTGAAGGTTCACAAGCTTTGAGGACTAACAGATACACAAGTCATTAAAAGACATCACTGTCACTGGTCTTTCTGTTCAGCTTCCCATAATGCAACTATTATAGGGTAAATCATGTAATGCCAACAGCTTTATTCTGGTGTACAACTCTAATTCTGTCATGTCATCTCAAGCAACTAAACCTTAGACCTTCTGTACCTAAAGGCAGCTTTCAAATGAGCCTAATTTCCCTCATCTGCTTCTTTCCCACGCTCTAAAGCCTCTTGGCCTATCATGTCTTAAGTCTGTGTTTACAGAAATATTTCCGAGCTCAGTGCATGGACCAGAAAAACTCTGGTTACAGGATGTAACATTTATTTGGAGATTATTCACTATACTAGAAGTTCTGTCACTGGAATATATGCTACATTATCCAAGAGCGTCAAAAATATTACAGAAAATACGACAACTATTACTATTCCGAAAAAAGAAGGAAATGCATGAAGTGTGTTACTAAGATTAAGCCCCAGTTTTGCCCAGCCACCAACCCTTGCAATGAAGAAATACCTAGCACAGTATGACACATACTGCGTGTGTGTGACTGTCTCAATCTGCCCTTTTCCAAAGAACTTCAATCATTTAGTTTCTCTGAGCAGTATGCTTCCAATCCCAGCAAACAGCTGGCCTGGCATTTAGAACACATGGGGATTAGTGGGTTGATTTATTTAGAGGCTCAATCCAGAGTCTGACCATTGCACCACTTATGATGCCAAGATCACCTCTCTGCTGGCTTGCTGATTATATTTTCATTTTTCTTTTATTGATTTCATCCATATTCTGCATGTATGAAGAAGCCATATTTGAATGAATCTCACAATTTGCTTATGTTTACGGTCAATCTAAATCATGTCTGCATCTTAACAATATACTTTCCTATCTATAGATGCATTTAGAAAATCAAAGTCTCCATTTAGGGGTTGTAAGAAGCATTTTACAGTTTATCATATATTTTTCTTTAATTGATTCTGTGGATTTTTATTTCTGATGTGATTGTTAACTACTGCTGGATTAAACTAATCTGTAGGCGCCTGATATTTTACATCTGGCTTAGTCTCCTGAGTCAGTATAAGCTCAGTTGGCAATCATATGTTTTTAGTTTGCCACACAGACAGGTTGGCAGAAGCCGTGTGGGTGTGTGTAGAAGGTGCAGGTGTGTCAATGTGCTTTGATAGCTTCCTTTAAAAAAACAAAAGAATCTGTGAACCAAAGTGGATTTCCCACTTGCCATCGTCTCTCATTGGTTGTCATGAGGGCCTGATTTGCATATGGTGGGAGTGTCCTGAGCCAGCAGTGGGATGAATGACTTGTTCAAGTCAGATAGAAATAAGGCATAGCACTTAGCAGAGGTCTGCACAGCTCAACGCTCAAAATGCTTGGCTTACTTAAGCTGCTCCTCTTCCTGCTATGAGTGGAAAGTGCTACAAACGGACATAAACATGTTCAACAGCAGACATCCTAGACTCAGCAAAAGAGGAAGAATATGGGTAAGTTTCACAACAATTTGCTTCACAAACAGAATTTAATGTTACGCAGTTACACATATGTTAGATGGCTTTGTGAGCACCATTTCATATCATTAAGGCAGATATAGGATTAGGCCCTTATACATCATACTGTTTTTCATTCTCATCTTCCTCTTAAACTTGTGCAGATAAACCTTGATTTTATAACAATCGAATTTCAGGGACTGATTTAAATACTTCATAAACTGATCATATGGATGCTATTTTGTTATTTAGGTATCAGAACAGCTCTGTAACTGATAGGAAAACAAAATATATATTTTTAATGAGAATAAGAATAATATATCCCAAATACCTATTTCTTTACTAACTTTAATTAAACCACAACATCTTCATCTTTTAACATTTTTCTTGTGTTTACAGGGATTGTGCATCCTTTTGCTTTACACCAACCCCCTTTCCTGTTTGGCAAATTTCAGTCAAGCAAAAGAGCTCATCTATAAGATAAAGGAGGGATTACCAAGGGGGACTTTTATAGGAGCTATTGGAGTAGATTTAAATTTGGATTTCTCTGTTGACCCCCCCTTTATATTCAGTCTCGCTCAAAAGAAGGTCAGTGAACAGTATGTGAACCTAAATAATACCACCGGGGAGCTTTACACATCTGCTACAGAGATTGACAGGGAGACTCTCTGTGCTGACAACTTAGAGGGGCAGGGATGTGTCCTCTCACTGGATGTGTTTGTGCTGCCTCAACAATACTTTCAGCTTGTCAAAGTAAAGATTTTCATTGAGGATGTTAATGACAACAGGCCAAAGTTCCCCACGGATGAGATCACTATGTCTGTCCCTGAAAACGCACCAATCAATGCTCGCTATGCAGTAGAGCAATCAGCAGTTGACCCAGACCTGGGTCCTTATGGAGTGCAAACCTACTGGCTGGTTAATGACTTTGAAATGTTCACATTGGATGTTGAGGAGAATGAAGGAGGTGAGCTGACGCCTTTCCTCATTGTGACAGAAGCTTTGGACCGAGAGACTCAGGCGGAATACATTACCGATATAATTGCAGAGGATGGGGGGACCCCTCCTCTACTTGGTGCTGCGACTTTGAAAATTGTCATCACGGATGTGAATGATAACTGTCCCCAATTCAAAGAGTCACAAATTAATGTCACTCTGCATGGGAATACCACCAAAGGGGTACATTTGGCACGTCTGCATGCTTTTGACCCTGACCTTGGTGCTAATGCTCAGATCAGCTATGCTTACAGTGAACGCGTGCCAAGGGACACCAGGAGCTTGTTCCATTTGGACAAAATTACAGGAGTGATCAAGCTCGCAGGGAAAATAGACACTGGCACAGCCACATTTTACAAACTCACTGTTCTGGCTACTGGACCTGGTTGTATTCCTGCTGTAGCCACTGTTATTGTCCATATCATCAAAGTTGTCACTGGACCCCCTACTCTCATACCCCGGTACATTGCGCCAGAAAAAGATGGGGTGGTAACAATAAAGGAATCTGAACCAGCTTTTTCTCCAATTGCTTTTTTTACTGTTAAAAACATTGATAAGAACCAAAGGGTGGAGTGTTATTTGGAAGGACCTGGTCCCTTCAGGTTGAGCCCCTATCAGCTGTTCAAGAATGAATACCTGTTGGAGACAACAGAGCCCTTGGATTTTGAGAGGACACAGGAGTATGATCTTATTTTGGTTGCTAATAGCACCCGTGGGATCGTTATCAAGACCTTCCTTAAGGTGCAAGTTTTGGACGAGAATGACAATGCCCCTGTGTTTCAGCAGTCTTTGGTGGAGATATCAGTTGAAGAAAACAATCCGCCAAACACTTTTCTCACTCAGCTCCAAGCGTCAGACCAGGACAGTGAAAGCAGAGGGGAAGTTCTTTACCTCCTCGGAGGCGACGCCCCTGGTATTTTTGTTGTGGATCGAGTTACAGGTATCCTGACTGTGGCCACATCGCTGGACCGTGAGGAGAAAGAGACATACCGGTTCATCGTGAGAGCGGTGGACCAGGGGACACCCAGGAGGGAGTCAATTGCAACAGTGGTGGTGACCGTGCAAGATCGCAATGACAACAGTCCGCGATTCATCAACAAGGATTTCACTTTCTTTGTGCCAGAGAACTTCCCAGGTTATGGTGAGATCGGTGTCCTCTCTGTGACTGATGCTGATGCTGGAGAAAATGGCTGGGTGGCCCTGTCCATCCTGAATGGCAGTGACATTTTTATGATAGACACAGGCCGAGGGGCACTGAGGGCAAAGACATCACTGGACCGGGAGCAGCAGGGGACCTATCAGCTATGGATCGAGGCTGTTGATGGTGGGGAGCCTGCTCTCTCCTCTGTCACAATGGTTACCGTGCTGCTGCTGGATGTAAATGACAACCCACCAATCGTCCTCTTTCCTCAGTCGAATCAGTCGTACATGCTAGTGCTACCCAACACTGTACCAGGAACATCAATCACAGAGGTGTACGCTGTGGATAAAGATACAGGGATGAATGCTGTGATCGCCTACAGTATCATTAAAAGGAAAGGCGGTGAGCCCGGGTCTTTTGCCATTGACCCAGAAACAGGAAATATCACATTAAAGAGGGAGCTCAGCAATCGTGGCCTATACAGCCTTCTGGTGAAGGTCAGTGATCATGGTCAACCTGAACCGCTGTACTCAACAGTTATGGTTAACTTCTTTGTCAATGAAACAGTGAGTAATGAAAGTTACATTCAAAGTCTGCTGACCAGAGAGGCTGACATAGAGGTAGAGGAGAGGCCCTGGTACATTGGCCAGATGGCAGAGGGGCCTGAGAGGTATGAGCCGTTCCCGTGTCAGCCTGTCCTCATTGCTCTTTCAGTGACGTGTCTGGGGCTGTTCTTCTTGGTTGTCACGCTGACATCTTACATATGCTGTAGGAGGTTTAAAAAGAACAGGATGAAAAGATCAGAAGTGGAAATACCTTTAAAAATCCAAAATGACTCGATGCAGGTTGTGAACAGAAAACTCAGACAGATCTCTAACATCTGATGTTCAGTTGTTCACTCGTTCAAAAAAAAAAAACCACCACCACTGTTTACATAAATGTTTACAAAACTCACTGTAAGAACTTTCTCTTACATGAAGTTCCTCTTTTGGGCTTTGTGATGATTGTTTTTTGTCATATGCCACCACTTTCTGTCAACTGTTGGCAGGCAGCAACGGTGTCATTACAAAAACATCACAGTAACTCAGTGAATATTACCAAGGTCCCATGTAAATACTGTATAAAAAGATTTACAACTTTATATACAAGTTTTGCATTTGATTGGTAAGGACAAGAGACACTGCTTTAGAGAAAAAAATGCATCTCTTTAGACCATCTGTCACTTGTATCGGGTATACAAATATAATTGAAAAATGAATGTATTTCCAAGTTAAATGTTTATCTATATTCATGAGGTAACCGTGAGGTCTGTAATACAGAAAAGGGCAATCAAAGTGAATTGGAAAAGCTAACACAGAATACGTGAATGCCATAAAACGTCATTCTATACACGACAACCGCAATGACAACAGACCAAACTAGACTAACAAACAAACTAGACGTTTCTTCCCAGAGTTTTCACTTGTGTCTTACTTTCTACTTTTGCTCAGATGTTGTGCAATGATATAGTACATATAAATGATAATTGAGTGATATAATGTTAGGTTAAAAGTTCCAGAAAAAAAAGCTTGTAGGTGCACCTTGAGTTTTTTTGTTTTGTTTGTTTGTTTGTTTTTGTCCCCTTTTCTTTTTATCAATAAAAATTCCGTACAGCTGTTGTGCCAAATCAGCACAACAACAAAATAATCACATTTTCATCACTTTGCTACTGGAACTGTGTCCAAACTTGTCAAAAAAGCTACTTTTAAGTTAAATACATCACTTTCCTTTATAGAGTCATGCAATTCTCAATGTGTCTGTGAAAATATGCAAGTGTTTGTGATAGACTGTTTGTAACTATTAAAGATACTTTATTTTTATAATACACTGGATTTTATTCTGTATTGATTTCATTATGTCTTGTTATCACACATATATCCTACATGCACTCAGATGTGTGTGTCTAAACTTTAAGGTTTTAAAGTACCTGCCGCTCAGATTGACTGGTTTTAAAAGAAAACAAGCCTGTAGTTTAGATTAAAATAAACTGAAAAACACAAAGAATGTAAATACACTTTAAAGTAAGGAGGGAAATTGATAGATACTGATTGGCACCTAATAAAAAATACATTTAGACTTCATCTTCTTCATATATTAAATTTGGTATACCAATTAAGTGCCTGTTGGATCGCACAAAGTGTGAGTGTCGCTGAAGGAGTTAAAGATCAAAAGTACAAGATTCTGTATTGTTGTTGCCATCACCTGTGAAGAACAGACATGGTGAGGTAATACCAAGAGTCCCACTAAGAAGGAAAAACATAGTGCAGCTGCTCGTGTCTGGTGTGTTTGAGGATCAAATTCGCATTTCTTACCTCTCTTGAGTGGTATTCGCAATCACTGTGCTTTTCATTCCACAACAACTTTGGGATATGTCTGGAAAGTGTGAAAGTGCTTCTGACACATTCTCCCCCAACAGATCAACTCAGAAAGCCTTTTGGTTTTAAAGCTGCTTTTTCTCTGCCCTGTGCTTCTTTGTTGTATTTGTATGTTTGCTATGAAAGTTATGTGGGCAAAAAGTCTTCAGGACTCTTTGTACCTGGGCTAACTACTGTATGCACCCTCCCAAGTGATGCACTCTGTTGTGTTATATGCCTCCAAAACCAGTTCAGGTTTGGCTATCACAAGACAGCAAGAATGCAAACAAACCTGTATTGAGAGTACATTCTCCAGCGCAGTTTCTCAAGTTAATACCAGCCTTATATTTTTAACAGTAGCACGTCATTAAAGCACAGAGCACATCAGGAAGTGGAAATAGCTCCGTGTAATCCTTAGTAATCACCTTGGGCATATGTATGCTGGATGCATACTATAATGTATTTCAGACAAGTAATAATATGGGTGACATAAAGGAAATCAATATCATTAGTCTCATGTACTATCAGAGCTGTAACTGATTGGCCTGACTTTAACATTCATTAAGAAAAAGAGTAATCCAGCCACACATTCAATATACTTCCTATGGTCTTAACCTCCTAGGACCTAGCGTCCACATATGTGGACATCACATGTTGGGTTATTTAGACCAAAATACTAAATTTTGCTCAACAAGGGCCTGATATCCACTTACGAGGACATTATACTGCTACTGTTCTATCGAAATTTTAAACGAATATCCTCATATGTGGCTCTCATTTTTCTTAGAAACAAAAATTAGGTAAAAAAATAAAAATAAAAATAAAAAATCTGGTAATTCTTTGTTTTTACAAAGTTTTTTTCATCAGGACCCAATCAGCCCAAATATCAAAGAGAAATTAAAAATGCATGCCGTGGAAGAGTTCAGATCTTAGGAGGTTAAATATTTGTATTAACTTAAAATATGAATTTCTTTGTGTTACTGATGAATTCATTTTTTGCTTTTATCAAGATATTTTTAGATGTATGTGACTACAGGAACTGGAAGGCTGTGTTACAAAAAGCCTTCAATGCTAGAACACCATTGCAAATACAGGTACTATGTTAGTCTCCCCTCATGTGTCAGCCATAGGCGATACTCAGTCTTTACCTTAATAATGTTGCTGATGTCATCCTACAGTAACTTAGTAACTTCAAGTAGCTTAGCCAAGTGACACATAATATAACAAATTTTGCAGATTTATTTTCTTCTCTCTTTTCTTTTCTTTTTTTTTCTTGCTCTGAGCAAACAACTACAGATTGTGATTAATTGCAGTAATAACAACTGAGGTCTCACTTTAGCGTGTCTCATTTCTCTTTCACCCGTTCTGACTCTTTCAATAAGTCGTTTCATTCAGCATGTTGAGACAGGAAACAGTCATACAAGACCTTTATGTCTGTGCTGGCCTAAACCCAGATGTTAGGATGATAGAGTATGGTTCAGTGTGCAATAACAAACACTGGTTTCTATTAATAAATGGTAAGATTGGATCTTGACATCAGATTACTTTTTACATTTTTAAGCACTTTATTTTGTTACATGCAAATCCAATACCTAAATTTTTTATTTCATTTTAAGATGTTTCATTAGGTGGAAAGAATACATTTGGCTTCAATATTAATTCTTCTCTTGTATGTTTCTGTTGTGGCCTACAAGCTGAAAAAAAGCACCATGCTATTTCTCACATGTTCACTTTTAGTACATATGTATAAGTAACGTTTCTTACTATAATGGAAGTTTTGATAATTTGCTGGTCTGGAGGATTTGTGTTACCACAATGCCACAATCTACCAGAAGCGCACATCATCCAAGAGCTACATCTAAGATTCTTAAAGTTCATGACAGTACAGACTGTGGCAACAAGGCTTTTGCAAAATTGCATCTGAAGAAACAATAAGACTTCTGGACAGACAAGACCAAAGTGGAGACATCTGGTCATAGTGCACAGCACCACATTTGGAAAAACCAAACACAGCATATCCACAAAAAACCCTCATCGTAACCGTAAAACACAATGGTGGGAGGGGTGATGATTTAGGCTTGTTTTGCACCCACAGGACCTGGGCACCTTGAAGCCATTGAGTCAATCAAACACTCCTATGTATACCAAAGTATTGTAGTCAAATATGAGGCCATCTTGGACAAAAATTGATCATGCTACCGGACAATGATCCCAAGCACAGCAGAAAAATCTACCTGACTGAAATTCTGTGAAGGGGCCTGCATAAAGAATTGCTCACAATCTGAATGAACTCAAGCTATGCTGCAAAGAAAAGTGGCTCAATATTCCTTCACAATGATGTGACAGATTGATAAATACAAGATTTCTTTGGCGTATCCAAACCTGCTGCGTGAATCTGCATCCCTAGCTATTTGTTCTGCAGTCAAAAAATCAAGATATTTCAGCTGTACTGTATCCTACAGTCCCACCCAGTCTTCCAAAGTACCTTTAACCTTTGCTTTTTGTTTTTTCTAATCTTCAGGAGAGTGAGTTTGATATATGTGTCTTGTTACACAAATCCTGTTCTGGGTTTTACATCTCTAGAAACAGATGGAAAGGGGGCCAAAAAGACAGAGGCACCCCACAGCTTTTCTACATGACTGATCACTTCAAGTGGTGATCCTGCTGATAGCCTGTTTGATATCCTCAGTCCAGGGCAGAATAAATGTGATTTAAATCGTGTTCTTGAACTTGTGACAGACACCCTTAGTTTTCTGTGTTTTATATTATATGCGGCTACAACTTTCGATGCATTTATTTATGTGGTTGTTCATTTGTTTCAGAGAGGTCTTTCTTCATAATCTCATGCAGATACACTGAGAAATTACAGATACAGTTCAGCTATTTTCCCTTCCATCTTTCTCTCTCTCCCTCTCTCTCTGTTTCTCTTACCCTCTCTCTCTCTCTCTCTCCGCTACACCCCACCCCCCTTCCAGGAAAGTCTATCTGAAATTACATTAAATTCTTAATGGTGTAGACAGCAAGTAATTACCATCAGTCACAGCCTGATCTCATTTCCAGATTGGCTTTATTGTAACGTCCCTCCCTTGAAATCAAACAAATAAAGACACAATGAGAGGCCCAGGTAGAGTTACAGAGCTCTGCTGAATAAGAGAGGCTATGTTTCCCAAGTTATGACATCAAATACGACCGCCCTACCACCACCACCAACACCACCCCACGCACACACACACACACACACACACACACATGCATACGCACACACAAATGGACTTTGTTCAATCTTCAATAATGCATCTCCATATTACCCCACTGAAAATCACTGCCTTTGATCTGAAACATCTTTTATTTGCTCTGATGCAACAAAATATAATCCAATCGCACTCTTTTGATCCTGCTGTGGATTACGTTACTAATTTTCTTCAGTCCTCCATCCCTATTTTTCTCTCAGTTTCATCCTGTTTCATCCCAGCAAAACACAGAGGGGCTTCTAGGGAATTAACTGCGTCAATTTATTTCAGAATAACTTTTTTTTTTTTCTCACGACTTCTAACAATTTAATATTGTCCTGTTTTGCCACTGTATGCAGTATTAGAAACTTGTATTTTCTATTCTGATGTTTGTTTTATTTCAATGGCTAAGAGCAAAAATTATGCTCTATAGCTTAATGTTTTGGGCGTGTATTCAGATGATTCTAGTCTATTTTGACCATGGAACTAAGCATGACTCACTCATTTACAATCCTTTAAAAGGATTTTTGCTTCTCCTTGTTTGAACCGTGCTGAAGGGTTGTCTCTGACAGATACGTAATACTACTCTGCGCTCAGGGTTGAATATGATCTGTAATTGAAGTGTATTGATGCAACTATATAGTCAAAGGTAAGAATGGCATTTTAGTGACATTTGAATAGTTCTGAACAATAGAAGAATTATATCAGGACAGACCTGCTTTGGCTAATTTCTTCAGCACGTTGTGTTGAGGTGAAAATGAATATGCACCACAATATTTGTTACCAGGCGAAAGAGCCTGAACTAGAACATAAGATTTACAGCACAGTGTTACATTGCACCTGTGCTGCTGGTGCTGTGGGGATCTCAGCCACAGGTGAGCTTTGACAAACGTATTTTTACATGCACACAGCTGAATCTTTAGGAGGGTGTGCATGTTTGTTTTTGCCATTACTACTCGGAATAATGATGTAATAATAATTTTGCACAGGTGGCACATTTTTGCAAAATGGTCATTTTTGCAAAATGGATTACTATTTGAATTTCTTTCCAATTATGGCTTTTTTCCTTGTTCTGTTTTTACTAATATAGTCATCCACAGGTTCTTTATAAATTGCAGTAATTTGTTAGTGATGACTCCCCTGACTGTTTTTTGTTGTTGTTGTTTGGGGGATAAAAATTTTAACATCAGTCTTACACTTTCATTTGGTTATTTATATGTTATTTTAATCAAATGACTCGCCAGTCCT